TTTTTGTTGGACTTAGCAAATTTTCCATGAATTTTTCCAATATGTACAATACGAAAAATCCATCTCGTACATTTTAAGAAACAATTTATTAGAACAAATTGTTTAGGTTCTTTTAATAATAATAATAACACAAGGGAATGGTGATTTTGTTGCATCAAATGTTAAAGCTTTTTTTGATAGACTTTTTTATGCTGATTACTATAAGTGACCATCAGTTCAAGGTGCAGGGATGGGTTTTTCAGGGATAGTAGTCGAGACTTCTAGCTTTAATTTAAGCGTAATATCACCTTAAATTTCTTTGCTATGGCTTCTAAAATATTGCAAAAACGCGATTTTTTGACACTTTGACCTCGTTTTTTCCAATTCTAGAGCTGATGGAGACTATACTTACGGATTCTATCCAAAACAGCTTTAACATTTGATGCAACGAAATTGTTTCCCACTTTTGTTCCCTTGTGTAATAGATTGGGGCTTATACATATGTTAGTCTTTGGCCGAGCTTCTCCTCCGATTTGTGGCGTGCGCCTTGATGTTGCCACACAAAGGGAAGGGACTTACAGTTTTACGTTGTTTTTGATGGCAGAAATACACTCGGAGGTTTGCCATTGCCTGTGGAGGGGCGACCGCTGTTAAGGATAAACCTTTTCTTCTAAATTGGTTTGTAATGTTGCGTTGACCAGGGCTTGAACCCGTGCCCTGTACAGTGGCAGCGCGCACTGCTTACCATTACACCACAGCGGCCGTTATTTTACGATCCCATTAATGGGATTTTCGGTTCAGACTAAATAAATTTTCTGAAAAAGAAGATTCCGAATTTTTTTTATACATATTTTTAATTTGAAACGTAGTTGCGCACTTGTTTATTATAAACAACAACTTATACATTAAAATAATAATGAACAAACAATCTATTGTAAAAATTATGATGGTCTTTAAATAAAGTTGCTTTTAAATACTGCAAATCTTCGTACTTAGGGTTCGAAATTTCAGACTTTGGTATCGATACTGAGTACTCATTCTGGCATCGAGCTCATGGTATCCATACTCTAAAAGTATCAGGGAAAAAGTATCGATACTACTCAGTATCGGATTCATTAAAATACGTTTTTTGGGATACTAAAATTATTTTGTTCTTCAATCGTATATCCATATATATTTCCTGAAATTAAAACAATAGACATTTAAAATATTTGATTTTTGTTTCATTGCAGAACTTACTTCCACGTCAGAAGTAATTTAAACGTTAAATGTACATACATAATTACACACATATTTATTTTCACGAATTTTAAATTTTATTAAGAATTTTTGGAAACTTTGTGGGTATGCACTTTTGTAGCCTATTCAATTTTGTATAATATTGTGCAAGTTTTAATTAAAAGTCAACGGTAGTAGGCTACACGGAAAGTTGAATAGGTTACAAAACTGCATACCCTAAAAGTTTCTAAAAGTTCTGTATTTTCGTGAACTTTAAAGTAAAGTTTAAAGTAAAGTTTTATGGCCTCATTCATAAAAATAAAAAAGGTTTATAAACTGAAAAATTTATGAAAGTCTCATTTTATTTAAGCTCTTTAAGCCTACTTTTTTTATTAAAAAGGCCATTAAACTTAAACTTATTTGGTTTATGTTATGTAACAGACTACACGAAATTTCAGTTTATTTTAAGTGATGGACAAAATTGAATGATAGTAATCCATATAAGCAAAGAAAATTGGGTTGCCAATGGAAGACAAAATTTAAAAAGTGTGTTTTTTAAAAAGTATTCGATACTACGAGTACTTTGGAAAGTATCGAGTAAAATCACCAAATAAGGTATCGAGTATTAAAGTACTCATTTTTATACCCTCAGTATCGATACTTACTCAATATCGATAGTATCGTTCGAACCCTATTCGTACTTCCTTGCTGTAATTCGGCGTCTGCCTTGGTGAAGTTGCTGCAAATTGGAATACTGTAACGGGACTNTTTAACCAGTAGCTGCTGGTTGGCTCGCGCTCGCGAGTGGGACCGGCCGGTAGGTTGTGTGGGTGGGGTGTGTTGGGAGGTTTGCTGTTGCTCAGGGGAGCTTCTGGGGGCCGTGCAGGCTCTTCGGGTGCTAGGTCGCACCCGTGCATTACGCGAGTGGGTAGCCGTGGAGGCTGATAGTGCCATTTGGCTTGAGCAACAGGGAGCCACAAAGTTTGTGGTCCACTCCCGGTGAGACCTAAGGCCAGAGCAGGTTCTTAGGTGACTCCATCCGTTGCAGGAATTCCACCTAACCGAAGTGGAGTTCGGGTGGAGTCGATTCTGGCAAACACAGCAGAAGTAAATTTCAGGTCCGGGGTTGGGCTCTACGCCCGCCCGGAGAAGAAGGATGCGGAGCAATCCGGCTGCAAGGTATTGCTCTATGGACGAATAATGATTGGTGGGTATCGCCGACCTAGACGGGGTTAGATCGCCGAAACAACAGCCCTTGGTCGGGTAAAACCCGAGTCATTCCGATACGTAGAACTCTAGCCGATGAGTGTGACAACCTTCGTCAGGCCGATCCCGGAAATCCCCGTATCAGGGATCTCAATTCGGAGATTCGGTAACTTGTGAACGTACATAAGAGGAAAAAATGGGAATAGCATTTGAAGACCTGCAACTTCGCCTCTGGTGTGAGTAAGCTTTGGTCAACCGTGAGGTCGTTTTCCAACCCGACGAAGCGTGACGACAGAGTCGAAATAGACTTTGGTGACCACGCTTCGTCGCTACGCGAACTATTTTAGCCGGCAGTTTATTCTGCATCCTCCGGTGGATAAAGCCAAACGTCGAGTGACCAGAAGGCTGTACAAATGCCAAAACCCAGTGCGCCTCTTGTGTTCACCAGCAGTGTTGTAAGGGTAGAAATCGGGAAGGCGAAAGCCTCCAAAGCCATTGGACCCGACGGGAGATACATGTTGATGCTGAAAAGTTTGGGTCCTGCGGGAGTAGCGTACCTCACGGAGGTCCTCAACTTGTCTATGGAGATGGGAAGAGTGGTCCCACTGCTCAAACCGGGGAAACCAGCCAACAAAGGAGACTCTTATCGCCCGATAACCCTCCTTTACCCGGTAGCGAAGACAAAAGAGGCCTTGCTACACCCGTATTTCACGAACAACCTGACCCCAGCGAAGCATCAGCATGGGTTCCGTAAAGTGCATAGCACAACAACAGCACTTAACGCCATAAACACTCAGATAACTCGTGGCCTTAACCGAAATCGTCCCTGTGAGAGAACTATTCTAGGAGCGTTGGACATGTGCAAGGCGTTCGACAATGTCAGTCATTCAACGCCGCTAGAAGACATAGAAGCCTCCTCTCTCCCACAAGGACTCAAACGGTGGTCGGTGAGNCCACTATCGTCATTCCAGACATATGGAAGATGGGAAGAGTGGTCCCACTGCTCAAACCGGGGAAACCAGCCAACAAAGGAGACTCTTATCGCCCGATAACCCTCCTTTACCCGGTAGCGAAGACAAAAGAGGCCTTGCTACACCCGTATTTCACGAACAACCTGACCCCAGCGAAGCATCAGCATGGGTTCCGTAAAGTGCATAGCACAACAACAGCACTTAACGCCATAAACACTCAGATAACTCGTGGCCTTAACCGAAATCGTCCCTGTGAGAGAACTATTCTAGGAGCGTTGGACATGTGCAAGGCGTTCGACAATGTCAGTCATTCAACGCCGCTAGAAGACATAGAAGCCTCCTCTCTCCCACAAGGACTCAAACGGTGGTCGGTGAGTTACCTGAATGGTCGACATTCGTCAGTAATTTTCAGAGACAAAACCAGCAAGCCACGTAAAATTAAACAGGGGGTACCACAGGGTGGTGTCCTGTCCCCACTACTGTTTAATTATTACATCTCTAAGCTTCCTTAACCACCAGAGGGTGTCAATATTGTCTCTTATGCTGACGATTCCCGATCATGGCGTCTGGGAATGGAATTGATAACTTGTGCTCGAAAGTAAACGGTTATCTCGCCGAACTTTCTCGCTTCTTCACTACAAGGAGCCTTGCCCTATCCCATGCCCTTCCTCGGCAACCCTATTCACCTCTTGGACGACGGTCTGCTCTCCTTCTCGGCGCATACAACCGCAATTGCCAATAAAGTACAGAGCCGCAACAATGTCCTCAAGTCGCTGGCCGGCAGCACTTGGTGCAAAGATAGAGAAACGTTGTTGGCAACATACAAGGCAATTGGCCGGCCGGTTCTAAACAATGCAGCGTCCGTGTGGTCGCCTGGGACTAGCAGGACGCAGTGCATGAAGCTACAGACCTGCCAAAACACGGCACTACGAACAGCGACCCGATGTCTCCTGATGACGCCCCAACACCACCTACATGACGAGGCCCAGATGCTCCCAGTCAAGGAGCCTAACAATATGCTCTGCAAGCAGTTCCTTGTGGGGAGCCACAGACGTGGCCATCCCAGCAATCAGCTGCTTGCAGAAGAGCCCTCGCCAAGGCACGTCAGGAGGCATCTCTACGAACTGACGGACGAAGTCCAGAGGTTCATTAAACAACCTCTGGACCCGTCAGCCTACCGACAGGCCCTGAGCGGCAGTCTCAGGGAATCAGTCTCGAGTTATGTAGACTCCCGCCCTGTGAATGCCGTTCTGGACACACAACCACCGGACGTGGAGGGGACAGAACTTTGTCTGCCTCGGGAGACCCGCACCACAATAGCTTAACTTCGCTCTGGCTATTGCAGCAGGCTTAACTTATACCTGAGCAAAATTAATGAGGATGTGTCCAATTAATGCCCGGCATGTGGAGAGTCGCCACTTGACTCTCGGCACCTTTTCACATGGCCTGTAAACCCCACCTAGCTGACTCCCCTGCCCTTATGGGCAGACCCTGTGGAAGTCGCACACTTCCTGGGCCTCCCCTTAGCTGAAACGAACGACAACGTGGCGAAGCCTCGCGCATACGAGGCCGGCTAGTCTGTAATAATTAATTGCATTAAAATAGTTCAATGCGATATTTTTTATAATTGATTTAATTCCAATAAGTTGTTTACATACAAGGGGACTTTACCCAAACTTTACAAGTTAATAACATTAAATAATTACTTATTAAGAACACTTTATGGTAATGAGAGTCGAGTATTATTTTGTAATGTTAGCCACATTTGAATGAAATTGCTTTGCGCAACCCATCGATATAAGTCTCTTTGGAATTTGAGAATACTGCGCTCCCATAAAGCGAACAATCAAATCTTCGTAATGGTTTACAACTTTGACATCAAGTGAATGGTTGAGAATAAGCGCGTTTAGAGTACGAACGCCGCTCTCCCGTTGCTCAGCAGATGCCTCAGGATTTCGCATAATATCCGCTACGCGGCAAAGGATTGCTTGGAACGGAATTCGTTCCGTCGAACGATCACAATATGCTAAGTGTTTTAGTGAGACATTTTGATGATTGCCGTAATCAACATAAAACACTTTGAATATTTTTCCAGAATCATCAAAATCAATTATCTTCGCGCGATACCATCGCTCATCTCCATATCGCGCACGGACAATGTCATATAGCATTGGTGGCTTGGTCAAACGCATACAAAGTGGAATATCATCGTCAGTCCATATAAGGGGCTCCATAGGATTATCTGGATCGTTTATTTGAGCGTAGAAATATTCAATTTGCCCAACGTGTGTTGGTGTAATGTTTATTATTAGTCCGGAAGTATAGCGCGTCACAGGAAAGTAGTTGTCAATAATGGTTTTAGCAGGTATGCGATCTTTGGTCCAGCCTTCCGGTTGTAGCAGAGTATGTTCTAACCGACAATTGGCTCCTTTGAAACAAGCACCAGTTTTTGGATTGTAAAAACGACAGATACGTTGTTCGTCCTTGGGATTGTAGCCCATAACTGCAATCATGGCGTTTGACGTATTGAGCGGTTCCTCCGCCAACATATCCATTTCTTCAGTGGTCAGACCGTTAGGTAAGTGTCCGACTTCACTTGCAAATATTGGATTGTCTGGTAGCGCGCTCAAGGGTATAGCTTCGTCATTGTCATCAATGGTTGTTGACAGTTCAGTTAGGAATGGACTGGTGTTGCCCATATTTTTTTGGGCATTTTTCTTGTTTGGGGTCGTCGATAAAACATTTGTTGAGTTTTGAGGTATTGCCGATTTTTTCTTAAATTCATCTGTAATTAGTTCTAAGCCAAGTTTACATATGCTTTCTTGGTTAGAATTAATTACAAATGTGGCCTTTTCATACTCTAATTCCTGTAGACGTGCCTGCAAATCTTTAAGAGAAAGATGTTTTTGTCCATAAATACCATTTAGTTGACAAGGTATTGCTTGGGCGGGAATATTTTTTACTTCACTAGGTAAGCGATATGTAATATTGGATGCATCTATCACCGTTATCTCACCGAAGTCCAAAAGCAGAACCGTATACTCTTCGTCTGAATGAAGCGTATTCAGTGGTTCTTCTCGAATCGCTCGTAGTATTGTATTGTCCAGAACAACACCAAAAACTTCGTTTTTAGGTGGAATATCTGTATATTGTCTAAGGTGCACCATACTTTTCAAATTTGCAATTTGTTGAAACTCTTTAGATTCTGATTCACATACAAAGAAATTTAAGGCTTCCAAATCTTGTATATAGCTTACAGATGCCTTTAAAATATTGCCTTCTTCATATTTGGATAAATCCTTTTTTAAATACACCTTTAGCAATTGTTCGTTTAGAGCTACAATATTATTTTCTTCTGCCGGTGGAATGGACAAGTTTTTATAGTCATAAACGTTTTGATCCTCACATTTAAAATTTAAACATTCCGTTTTTATATTATTTCCAGATGTATTATTTTTAGATTGGCCAGAAGATTTCGGGGGTGAAGCAGTTAAGGCTAAAGTGTTAGAATCTTCCGGAAGGGCATTAAAACCATTGCAGTTTTTTGGATGTCTTTCACATTCATCCAAAGCTTCAAATAAAACCCGCGTTGACTTTTTCTCCAAATCATTAACAAACAAATGGAAATTAAATTTACGCGCTATCTCCAATATATTTGATATAGACGATGAGAATTTGTCGTATGCCACTAAAGCGATTGCGTTCCGATCTTGTAGAGCTTGCCCATTTTTACAAATTTTGTGAAACACCTTGTTACTTTTCAGGAGGTATTCAGTAACATTATCCAATACTTGCTGCAACTCCTCATTGTGCATTTCATACAAATGTTTTAAATCTTCTAACATTTTTAGAAAGCACGGATTCTCCTAATGCACTATTAACTAATTTCGTAAACAAACCAGTGATAGAGCGATACGAGTAGCGAGTACTGAATATCGATACTGGGTAGTATCGAGAACTCGATACTTTTTCACAAGTACTGAGTAAGTATCGCGAATACAAAAAGGTATCGACATGTTAAAACTCTTAAATAATTTTTGTTTTAAATTACATACTTACATAAAAATTTCATGCTTTCANCGCGAATACAAAAAGGTATCGACATGTTAAAACTCTTAATAATTTTTGTTTTAAATTACATACTTACATAAAAATTTCATGCTTTCAATCACATATATGAATGTCGTGGAAATGAACACAACGCTCATTTAATTCAATACTGTCATAACTCAGAAAACCAAAAACTCGAGAAATACGGCTTTAAACCCAACCAGCAAAATCATCGTAAACGTGCTCGTAACTGGATATTTTCTCGAAGAAAAACCGGCTAAAAATTCGCTTATGATAGGCGTTTAGGATTCGTTTTCGAGTACTTTTTCGCTTGAAATTTTATTATACATTATAAAATATTTTGGTTCAAGAAAAATTTCTAACAAATTGAAAATTTTTTCTTGTGCTGACGAAATAATACAAGCCTCTTTCTATTAATTTTTTTTGTTTTATCGTTTACGAGCCTTTTTTCTAACTTTTCGCCGGTCGAGAATCCCTCATAAAATAAAATGTTCGTAAAATGTACGTTTTCTTGCTGGCTAGGAAGTTTTCAATTTACATATGCATATGTATATATATACTCCCATTGTAAAAATTAATACAAATTTTGTTCTAATTAACTACTGTTAATCGATACAGCTATGCACTTTTTACAAAATATAGAAACGGAGGTAGCGGTCATTTCAATATTGGGCTCGGTTAAAAATTCTTAAATAATTGGAAAACGAAACTTGCCTCACCTTCGGCAATAAAAGAGGATGGTCTTCGACTCGATAACTTGGCATTTTACCTTCATTGTAAATTCGAAATCAGAGCCAGTCTCGAAGAAAATTTGTATGAAATAGAGCAAATATTTCCTTTCCGAGAATGGGCTTTACCACATTTGTTTCTCGTTTTCTACATTTACATCCCATAAAGTGATTTATAAATATACGTGTCAAACATTTATAAAATATTTCGTCGTTTAAAGTACAAAACCGCTTGTCGTCATTCTGCAAAACCGCGTAACTGACATTTGCTGCCAAAAATTGGATTTGCTCTCCCAAGCTCTTGGCTCAATCCTTATCCATTCGTCCTGAAACATACTAGCCAGTAATGCGATTGCTTTATAAAAAAAGATAACCATTTTGCAACTTGAGTGTCACATACGCGGTTTTGCACTTTGTTGATACGCGGTTTTGTAATTTGAACGACGATTTGCTTTTAAAAACTTTAAAAAAGCTTTTTGCTATAAATATTTATTTTACTCTTGTAGAACTAAGCTTACTGCAACCCTGCAAAAATCGTTGGACCATGTAGTCTATTTGTGGTAAATTGGAGTACTTACAAAAGTGTTCCTCTGTCATGTTGTAGCGGACCAACTCGTGTCTCTGCGCCAGCTTATTGTTTGTTATCCGATCACTGCTCGTGTTTTAACGAAACGTGATTGAAGTTGAGCATTTGAAAGCACATTTGCATGTCTGGCTGTAGCTGAACGTGCAGAGATGCTCGCTGTTAGTTCTTAGCTTCCAGCATGTTTGGGTTCGAATACCGTCAGAGGCAACATGTAATTTTTAATTTTTGTCTTGGTTTTTATTAATTTCGAAAAAGCATTCGAGAAGTGAAGAACAAAACCGTGTACAAACGAAAAAATATAACAACAATGCCATTGTTAATATGTTGGAGTAGTTTTGTGCTACTCTGATGTAATGCAGGGATGGAGTATATGGTCCTGCCCTAGGACATCGCAATGCTAATTGGACCATATTTTTTATATGAATTGTGGTTAATTTTGGAGTACTCTTTGGTCCTTAGGGAGTACTCTTTACACGCATGCATGGAGTAGGCGCGATTTTTGCAGGGAAGTTTATTTGAAAAACTACTTTAGAAATGCTTGCTAATCAGATTTCAACTATTAAAAGCAGTGTCTATTCAATTTACAAATAGACAGAGGTCATAAAAGCAAAGCATACTGATTTTTGTTAACTTTTGTCGTTTGCTTCAAAAATACTTGGAAGTACGAGTATTAACGATACTTTTTTGCAAATATGAGTACTGGCATCGATTCTTCTTTAGAGTATTCTATATGAGTACTGGTATCGATACATTTCTAAAAAGTTCTATCACTAAACAAACCCAGTTGCAGTTGCACGTTTGTTCGTTTTTGTCATTGCGCATAACAGGGAAGCCAACCTCTGATGAATTTCCCGATTTGCGTGGAATTTCGGATTGTGTGGGGAATCGGGAAAATACCTTGTTTTGTGGGGAATTTCAGTTTACGTGGGAAATCGTGGGCTGAACTGTTTCTTGTGAGGAATTAGGTTTTAACTAATTTTTTTTATTTTTTTATTCACTAATTTTTCATAATGAAAAAGAAATGCAACTGCAACTATTAGTACTGATTATGCAAACCTGCAAATTATGCAAATTACAGTTTTTTTTATAATTTTTTGGTCACATTGGCTTTCATATAACGAATAAGCAATTTATTTTTATGTGGAGGAAAACCGCAGCACCTTCGGCAAAAAATGTTAAAACTAAAATTTTTAGCTACTTGAAACTTCTTTTTCATAGATTGGGTGGGTCAAAAAAATTTCAAAAATCTGATTACGAAAGTTTGCTGTTTTTTAATGTTGCACAAAGTTTGAAACTTGGATTCATATAGGTTTTGTTAAAGATGTATGTATGTTAATATTATATATGCATTTTTAATTCTTTATTTGTTAAAAAACTTTACAAACGTTTGATTTGGTTTATGTGCTCCCGGACTTTGTAAATATCAGTTTGTCGTAAAGATAAGAAGGCGTCTTGGCGTTCATTAGCCGGTACAGAAAAATGCAGCTCCTGGCTGTTTGGAAATCGTGAATTTCACACCCTAACAAACTTGTTTTCCACTCCGATATATGTCGAGAGGTAGAGGCAATCTTCTACTGCGAAAAATTACCTGAAATCGATTCCATTGGCGATAATGACATTGCGGAAGACATTAATGCATGGACGGAAGCGTTGGAAGAAAAATACCAGCACAAGGCTAAGGAACTTCTCCGCAGATACTCTAACATATTCGACAAGGATGGCGACAAACCAGGCAGGACTAAAAGCGCAGTTAGTCAACGACGTAGCGTAAACGTAGGTTGACGTACGTAGCAGCATATAAAATTTACTGTAGATAGAGAGAGAGAGAGAAGCAACGGCAACGTCACCGCCATTCGGTGGTGAGTTTCCGTTAACACGCGAGTACCATAAGGTAGATCGTGTCTGCGTCAACCTACGTCTACGTTACGTCGTTGACTGTTTGCGCTTTAACGTTGTCAAACATCGCACTGATACTGGCGATGCAAGGCCAATCCGTCAAGCTCCTCGGAGTGTTCCACTTGCCAAACGTGAAACTGTTAGCCAAATAATAAAAGAAATGGGCGGGAGTGGTGTAATTGAACCATCAGCGAGTCCATGGAGTTCGCCGGTAGTACTTGTGACGAAAAAGGACTGCTATCCTCTTCCCGGGATCGATGACACTCTGAACTCGTTGACTGGAACAGAGTAGTTCTCAACACTCGACCTTAAGAGCGTTTATTGGCAAGTGGAGGTAAGTGACGAGAACAAGGAGGAGACAGCTTTCAGCGTTGGAGACGGTCTGTGCAATTCACGGTGATGCCCTTTGGATTATGCAACGCTGCTGCCACTTTTGAACGACTTATGGACCATGTGCTCAAAAGACTGCATTGGAAAACATGTTTGGTGTATCTAGACGACATTATCGTATTGGGTAAAAGCTTTGAGGAACACCTGAACAATTTGGAAGAAGTTTTCCAGAGGATAGCTGGCGCTGGTCTGAAGCTAAGTCCTAAATAATGCTCACTGTTCAAGAAGGAGGTGAGCTACTTGGGACACAAGGTGACAACGGAGGGCGCCTGTACTGCGAAGGAAAAGATAGAAGCAGTAAAGGATTGGCCAAGACCTAGGAACCTGCACGAACTACGAAGTTTTCTTGGGCTATGCACCTACTACCGCCGATTTGTTCCGAATTTCGCCAGCGTTGCTAATAGCCTCCACGAGCTCACTAGGAAAAATAGAGCCTTCGAGTGGAACAAGGAGCAGGAGGAGGCTTTCCAGACTCTGAAGGGACGGCTATGTACTGCACCTATGCTAGCGTATCCCGTTCCAGGTGCAACGTTTATTTTGGATACGGATGCTAGTGGTTATGCCATAGGAGGCGTACTGTCGCAGGTAATTGATGGGCAGGAGAAGGTAGTTGCCTACTATAGCCGGTCGATTGGAAAACCAGAGAGGAACTACTGCGTAACTCGGAGAGAACTACTAGCGTTGGTGGAGTGCGTCAAAAATGTCCACAAGTACCTCTATGAGCAACGTTTCCGGGTTCGAACGGACCATGTAGCGCTGAAGTGGCTACTACAGTTTAAGAATCCAGAAGGACAGCTAGCTCGGTAGATTGAGAGACTGCAAAGTTATGACTTCGCTATTGAGAACCGCAAGGGAAGTGTGCACGGTAATGCTGATACCATGTAGCCTGGAATGTAAACACTGCTCAAAAGCTGAGGGAAAAGAGGACATTATAGACGTCCGTCTAACGACAATAACACCAGCGGAAGAGTGGAAGGAAGAACAGCTACGAAAGTGTCAGCAGGAAGATCCAGATCTGGAGCTTTTGATGGATGGAGTGGAGGTAGACAGAAGGCCAACTAAGGAGCAAATGGCAGCGGAAAGCCCCNAGAGCTTTTGATGGATGGACTGGAGGTGGACAGAAGGCCAACTAAGGAGCAAATGGCAGCAGAAAGCCCCATCGCAAAGGCGTACTGGGCACAATGGAACAGCTTAAAATTAATATCTGGCTGTTTGCATAGGGTATGGGAAAGCGAAGATGGCCAGTGCT